TGGGCTTACCCTGTAGCCCTTCACACTGTCGACACTGCAATTCGCTGCCTAAAAGCAACCATTACTATATATCACTCACATCAGAAGGTTCACTTCCTCCAACTGGGAAGGCTCTCCATAACGAACATCTTCGTGGCACCTCAGTCCAGGTGGCGAGAAATGGCGTATACTGCATACCACACGATTAGCCAAGCCTATAGCGACCGTCTCCTTACTCAGGCTTAAACTCTGGGGCATTGGCATTGAGACTTCCGCTGCTAAATGCGGCATCAATGTTAGATGGTTCAAAGGCTAACTGCTTCCCGCGGCCCGACAGGAGGAAGTACTGGGCGTGATGCTTGTTCTTGTGCCACTTGTTGGAGGCCTTGTAGGCTCCCCACACTGTCGGAGTGCTATTGCCCAACTCCCTTATATTAGACATGGGAACCTGAGCCGACGTGATTAGATGACCCTATGAGATCGATCTTACATCTGAGAAATTCTCATGACTCGTACGTTGGTGACCCACTCCTGAGGCGCTCGCTAGAGGCCTCACATTATCAAGAAGTTGGCAGCTGACGTCGACCGTGGGTAAGTCGATGTCAATATTGAGCTCTACTTCATAGGTGCCAGATACCGGGTTGTGCTTGATGCGAACGAGACTACTCGCGCGGGCTTTCATCGGCATTCTCGCAGTGCTAACAGTGGTCTTCGGATCACCGTCGTAGCCCCTCGGGAAGTAGATGGTCTTTCTATCATCATCATCATATTCGCTTGACGAACCAGATGGACGAGTGAGTTGCTGCAGCAAGTCCTCGACTGGTAAGGAGATCCTCGCGTGAACTGTGGTAGTTCCAGAAACGGGATCGTCAGAACCGGTCTCGTAGGACATGCTTTGCCGAGCTACTGAATCACTGTCGGCTAGAATGCTAGACATAGACATATGAACAATACACCAGGCTGAGTTTTTAATCTGTCGAATGAGATAGAAAAACCCAGTTTCAATTTCTAGTCTCTCCGAATGCTAGGGAATTTATGAAATGCCAGAAAGCCTGTGTGACATCATCAGAGCTGACAGTAGGCCTAGGATGGCTTGCGCTCGTAAAATTCTCAACGATAATTTCTTGTAAATTTCGACTTCGTCTAGCATCACCACTGCTCGTGAGTTTCATAACGCGGGTGAGACCCCACTGAGTAATTAGAATAGAATAGAGCCCCATTGAGTTCTACTATGTAGTTCCAATATCCGTTCAGAATTTCACGAAAAAATGACGGGAAAAACACAAAAAATTTCCCCTTGAATGAGAGAACAACGAGATAACCATGCCGTTGCCACGTAAGACTACTTCAAAACGAATCATGTGCTAAGGAATGTGCATTTTGTCATCCACACTGTCGCACCCCGTCGGTAGATGATGCAACTATCGTAGATGCTAACGCCACCACCACCACGAGGAAATATGCGCATGGCCAACTACATGTGTTGGTGACAATATGGAAATTTTGAGGAAATTTTCGGAATTTCTTAGTGATTTTTATACACTTCTACCCGAATTCGTATGTAAGGTTCTATAATTAGTGAGGAAACTCCTGAGCTCAGCTGAGGAAGACTAACATACATTCCAATGTCACTTGAGCCAAGCTTGTTCATGCTGGCGGAGCGTTGAGAAAATCCAAGATTTGCAAGATAGTCTCTATTCCCTGTCTACTGACGGCGACTACCACTCAGGGGTCGTTCATTTCGAAACTCTCCAGAATCGCCTCTCACATGTATAACACGATGCTAGGATCGATTCGGAGGTCCAGATAGATTCAATGAACATGAGAT